TTGTTTTTCTTCGATTCCAATACCATATTACATAAATTATATTAAAATCACATTATATTATATATTAAAAATATTTAAAAAAATTAACTGATGAAATTTATTTTGATTAAAAATAAAATATATTTCGTTGGTGATTTTTACAAATTAAAAAAATTATAAAATAATTTGATTAAATTATGAACAAATTAACGATAAAATTTAACTAAATACACAATTATTTAAAATTCGTCGTTAATCCATCGGTGAAATGATATTACCGACAAGATTCAAACACGATCTTTCACACTTATTAACATGTTACTGTGTTAGAACGTCTGATGGTGGTCAAGTTAGTTATCAATTAGATATAAGTAATTCATCCATATATACCAATGAACACTAGCGACGAATTTTAATTAATTGCGTAGTTAGTTAAACTTTATCGTTAATCTGGCAGTAATTTAATCAAATTGTTTTTTATTTTTTCTAATTTAGAAAATCAGTAACGGAATATATTTTATTTTTAAATAAAATAAGTCTCATCAGTAATCCTTTTTAAATCTTTATTTATTTATTTTTAATTTGAGAAATCATATACGGAACATATTTTATTTTTAATTAAAACAAATATAATCAGTGATCGTTTTTAAATCATTTTTTATTTTTCTTAATTTGGAAAATCACTTACAAAATATTTTTTATTTTTAATTAAAATAAAATTTCATCAATGATCTTTTTTTAATGTAAATATTTTTTTGGTATATTTGTTTCATTTATAGAAGTAAGTACTTTTTTTGTTAAAAAAATATTTAGGGATTTAATCGTTCAATATATGAAAGTTCGTTGGTTTTCTTTTTCAGACTTTTTTCATCGTTTTACCACAATTTAACGAGTTTTGTAGGTCATAAAAATGTATCTAACAGGTTCTAAAAAGTCCAAGGAGTTACTTAACAAGTTTTGGAATGTCCAATGACTTATTTGTTCCAAAAAATTATCCAATGACTTAATCATTCTAAACACTAAAGTCTATTGGATTTTTTAGACTTTTCCCTATAAATTAATACAAACAAGATAGTTTAAAAAATTAAAATATATTGATTAAAAGAATTTCAAATTGATTATTATATATTATTATATATTATAATATTTAGACTAATTAATTAATAGTTTAAAAAAAAATATTTCATGATTAAATCAAATATTTTATCCAATTATTTAACACATTTTTGTTATCTATGAAGTAACATTAGTATAACTTTAATTTTTATGTTACATAAACATTGTTAAAATTGTTATATTTACATTTTGATAGATATTCTGGTGGTTGTGGTTCGCCCCCACCCGAGCGCGTTATTGTCTGCTTTTAGCGTTTTAGTGTTTTGACTTGATCTAAAGGGGTCTCCCCCCTCCGTATCAAAAAATAAATATATTGAATAATAATTGAAAAAAGGAAATTGACTCAAATGAGCATTTCTCACACTCAAATTGGTTTCCTAACCATTTCTCTCATGGGTTTACCCAAATATCACTACTTTCATAATATCCAGACCCACAATATTAGCTAAAGAAAAACAAAATTCAAATTCAACACAAATCTGCAATTGCATGGTCAGGTCCGCAATTTGCGACGATAAACTGGTTGAATTTGATTTTTTTTGTCTTTTAGCTAATAATGCGGATTAGATATTGTTGAAGTAGTGACATTTAGGTAAATCCGTGAGAGAAATGGTTATGGTTATGAGACCAATTTGAGTGGGGAAAAGTGGTCATATAAGTAAATTGATAATAATATGAAAATAATAGATATGATTAATCATTATTATAAATAATTAATAAATAATATTAATGTATAATTAAAATTAATTTTTTATATATATTAATATTAGTAATATTTAAATTTTATTAATATTTACTTATAATAAACATATAATAAATAATAATTAATATTAATGATGGTTATAATAGGAAAAATTACAATAATCTACTAAAACGCTACTTCAAATAACGTTTCAATAAGTTAGCTTATGTGCATTCAAACATATACCAAAAAATAAGCTAGCTTATTTTTTTTCAAATAATACATTAATTTACTGAGTTTAGTTATAACATGTGATATTTCAAACAAACAGTAACAGTAGGGATCGAAACATGCCTATCAGTGGCGGATGCAGAAAAAATAATTGTCGGGGGCATGATTATGTTTCTACCCAATTTGAAGTAGTTGCAGACTCGTAATGCAGACGTCGAGACGCGGGAGGGACGCCAAAACAGGCGGAACTGGAAACAGGAAGCGGTGATATATATATAGGGGCCTATTCAAGGGAGAATTGAGTTGTTTTGTGGTAACTGTGAGAACCAATATTAACCACAAATCAATAGATAAATTAGGAAATTTATAAATTTGGTAATTTTAAATTAAAATCTTAATGCAAGGATATTTTTGGTATTTTAAAACTCTCCTCTCTCCTCTCTTCTCTCTCCAGCCACCGTTCTCCGGCCTCCGGCCACCGTCCTCCGGTGATACCACTGTGATACCTAAAAATATTGACTCTGTTAAATAAAAGATACATTGTGATACCTAATCATATATAAGATGCATAGTGATACCACTGTGTTACATCTTCGATCGATCACACAAACGACATCAATGTGATACCCAAGCACATATATGATGCATTGTAATACCATTGTAGTATCACTAGAGGACGGTGGCCGGCGAACGGTGGCCGGAGAGAGAAGAGAGGAGGGAGGAAAGTTGTAAAATACCAAAAATATCCTTGCATTAAAATTTTAATTCAAAATTGCCAAAATTATAAATTTCCTAATTTATCTATTGATTTGTGGTTAATATTGGTTCTTACAGTTACCACAAACTAATTAGTTTTCATTTGATTAGGGGCCTATTCAAGGGAGAACTGAGTTGTTTGTGGTAACTGTGAGAACCAATATTAACCACAAATCAATAGATAAATTAGGAAATTTATAAATTTGATAATTTTAAATTAAAATCTTAATGCAAGGTTATTTTTGGTATTTTAAAACTCTCATCTCTCCTCTCTTCTCTCTCCGGCCACCGTTCTCCGGCCTCCGGCCACCGTTCTCCGGCCTCGGGCCAC